ATGAAGCCTGGCTTTGTGTGACATCGTCCGCACTCATCACCTCACCTGCTCGGCTCCTCCACCCCTGACTGGCCATGTTTTGGACGCCTGTTTACTCCCGGAGCAACCACCAGGCCTCCTCGGGCCTCCACCAGGGCCTGAGGCCTGCCGACGGCGGCTCCTCAAGGCCCCACTTGTCATCGCCCACCTCTTTGTACTTTGTTCTTTATAGAAAAATAAACCGTTTGTACGTGGTCCCAGCGATTCTGACTTCCCTGCCCATGTGAGCATCCTCAGACACAAGCGTCCCTCTGCCCAAGTGTGTGGGTGCCTCCAGCTGCCCCTCCAGGTTCTTGGGATGCCGGTGAGCCAGAGACAAAGATCTCTGCGGGAGGAGCTGCTGGCATGCAGGGGTGGGTGGGAGGATGCAATAGACAGTAATAATAATAATCAAGCAACACAGAAAGTCTGTTAGGGCCCAGCTGGCATGGCGCAGTGGTTGAGCATCAACCTATGAACCAGGAGGTCACAGTTCAATTCCCAATCAGGGCGCATGCCTGGGTTTCGGGCTGGATCCCCAGTGTAAGTGTGCAGGAGGCAGCTGATCAATGATTCTCTCTCATCATTGATGTTTCTCTCCCTCCCTCTCCCTCCCTCTCTGAAATCAATCAATACACACACACACACACACACACACACAGTCTATTTAGAAAGATGTTATGGACTGAATTGTGTTCCCCAAAGTGCATATGTTGAAGCCCTAACGCAGAACAGAGGACACAGGTGCAACAAATGAGTCTCATTTGATCCAAAGAGACCTGTCTTAGTCAGTGAGATGAAAAGAAACGATTACAGATGTGATGTTTACTTTTTTATTTTTAATTGTAGAGGCTCATTGTCAACTGAGCTCTTCCCACAGGGGCAGTGCTGTGGCTCCTGCTCTGAGGTTAGTAGCGGCCATGATCATTCTTTAAAACTGGTTAAGGAGTCTCTCAGGTAACCCTTGGCGACCAGCTTCTACTTTAATAAATAATAATTATAAAAATGCTGCCTGAGGTATTATTCTCCCCCCCCCCCCTTTTCTTTTTTGCCCTTTGCACACGGCTGGCGTGTGTTGTTTATAGTTTGGGAGGAGGGGCCGTTGTGCAAATCCCCTAACTCCTAACTGGGCCATACTCTGAGGTTGAATCACTCCTTCCAAAGCGCCCTTTCAGTTATGGGCCAAAATAAGACTACATTTCCCAAGGGGCTTTGCGGCTCGCGACCTTTCTCCCGCCCCTTCCGGTTATACATCCAGGCTCCGCCCGCTGCACGCGTCGGCCAATAGCACAGTACAAACAGGACGAGGGCGGGAACTTCTCAGGAGACACGGGATGGGTCCTGTGGCCGGCGCGTGGTCTTTTGAACCCGAGAAGCAGATTCGCGGCTGGAGATAACTCGGCTAGAATCAGGACCTGAAGAAAGAGGTCTGTTACTAGTCCACGGCTGGTGTTAAGAAAGATAGTACTAATTTTCTGCCACGGCTCCTGCCCAGTCCGATCTTCGATCTTTTCCTCCAGGAAACGAATCTGCTGCCGGAACTCGAGAGTTCAGTGACTCGGCAGGAGAAGATGGCGACCGTGTGGGACGAGGCTGAGGTCTGCTCTGGGGTAGCTGGGGGTCCTAGAGCCGGGCCCGCGGGGGGACCACCTTGGCTGGAGGGGAGGAGATGCTCGGGGGTCGAGGTCTGGCCCGGTCCCAGGGTCAGGGCCGCTGGGGATGTGGGCAAGGATCCTGATTCCTTCATTCTAGTCCTATGGACGGGGAAACTGAGGCCGAGTGGGCTTGGAGAAAGCGGGTGGGGACCCTGTTTCCTCCATCGGCCACAAAAAGAGAAAAGAAAACTAAGCCTTAAGAGGGACCAGAAGAGGGACAGGATGTTGGGAGCCCAGGCCTGGAGGTAGGAATCGGACGGCCATTCCCAATGAGGTCTTTCTGTATTCCTCTCCAAAATCCTTCTTTCAGGAAATCGTCATTTTACAGAGAGGAGACTGAGGCCCAGAAGGTTTTTATTGTGAACTACCCAGCCCTTAATGAAAGGCGGAACCTAAAACTTCTCTTTGACCCAAAGCCCTATGCTTTCCCCTCGACTACAACTCCTTCACCAGGAGGACGGCCGCGGGGCTGGGCACTCAGGGGGGCCTAAGAGCCGCGGGAGCCGGAGCCGGAGGGTCCCCTGCCATGACTTCACTCCCTGCAAGGCCTTGCAATAAACAGCCAAGGCCCAGCATTTGCTTCCACTTGTCTTCATCCCAGATTATGAAGAGCGAAGTGTTACGAGTGACCCACGAACTCCAGGCCATGAAGGACAAGATCAAAGAGAACAGTGAGAAGATCAAAGTGAACAAGACCCTGCCCTACCTTGTCTCCAACGTCATCGAGGTGTGTGTGTATGTGGAGGGGAAGAGAGGGGTTAGAGCGGCGTGGAGACGGCCTGTGACGGGCCACTGGGGAAAGGGGGTGAAGTTTTGAGGCTCAAATTACATGTTGGGGTCCCCTTCTGAGGGTCCCCTTCCTAGTGTGCATGTCTAGGTGCATCTCTAGGGCTGGAAAAGGCCTCAGAAGCCTCCCATGTCTAACGTTCTACTGGTCACTTTTCCTTGGGGGTAGATGAGCTTTGTCTGTGCAGAGAAGCATCATCTAAACCAGTGGTTCTCCACCTTCCTAATGCCGCGACCCTTTAATACAGCTCCTCATGTTGTGTGACCCCCAATTTCATTGTTACACATTGAACATAATTAAAGCATAGTGATTAACCACAAAAAGATATATAATTATATATGTGTTTTCTGATGGTCTTAGGCGACCCCTGTGAAAGGGTCGTTCGACCCCCAAAGGGGTCGCGACCCACAGGTTGAGAACCGCTGATCTAAACACGAGGTCTTATCAATCCCATGGGTTATCCACTGCACTTGCTGAACTCAGGGCCAGGGAGGAGCGAGGTCGGGATGGTCAGCCCTGCTGGCGTTGGGACTGCCTCAGCCCAGGAAGCACCGGCTCTGGGGAGTTCAGTGGGCTGAGCCCGGCCTCCATCTAAGCTCTTCCCCTCCCCAGCTTTTGGACGTTGATCCCAATGACCAAGAGGAGGATGGTGCCAACATTGACCTGGACTCCCAGAGGAAGGGCAAGTGTGCCGTGATCAAAACCTCCACACGACAGGTGAGGCTGGCTCAGCAGAAGGAGAACGGAGGAGGGTGAGGGGTGGGCGTGGGAAAGGACTAGGGAGCCTTCCTGAGGGCAGTCACTGAGGCCGCCTCTGGGCTTTTCTGACAGACATACTTCCTGCCTGTGATTGGGCTGGTGGATGCTGAAAAACTGAAGCCGGGAGACCTGGTGGTGAGTGGTGTCCCTGAGCCCAGGCAGAGCTTTTCCGGTGAATCTCCCACTGAGCGGCTGAGCCCTGCCCCAGGCCCCGGCCACTGCTGGCCCCGAGTCTCCCAGCAGAGCAGCCCAGAGAGTCAGACCCTGTCTGTCCGCTCTGTGAAGCTTGTGTTGGCCAGTTCTGTGTCATTCTTTTCACTCTTCAGATACCTGTCACCCAGCCAATTAATTAGGCCTTGAGCTGGGACAAATCTGAAGGCTGTGCTGTGTCTCCAGGGTGTGAACAAAGACTCCTACTTGATCCTGGAGACTCTACCCACAGAGTACGACTCACGGGTGAAGGCCATGGAGGTGGACGAGAGGCCCACAGAACAATACAGTGACATCGGGGGCTTGGACAAGCAGATTCAGGAGGTGAGGGAGGTGTGGCAGCCACTAGCAGCTCGCCAGCCTTTTGTGTGTCTCTGCCTCATTGACCAGGGCACTTCCCTATGTGCCTCTTATCCTCATAGCATCCAGGGAGGCAAGAAGGATGCCGTGTGACCGTTCAGGGGGCTGAGATCCAGAGAGTGAATGATTTGCTTAGGGTCATGGGAGGTTAAGGCCTGGAACTCAGGCTCAGTGTTTCCACCTTGTGCTGCTGTTGCTGGAGAGACCATAGTCAGCCTTGATGGGAGCGAGGTTCTGCGTTCTCTTGATAGGGGGGAAGGGGAGGGCAGGGCCCCTGAATTGGAACAGGAGGGTTACAGATTGGGGTCGAAAGCATTCAAGGTTGGGCTGTAGGAGCCCTCCGGGCTTCCCTCTCCTCACCCAGGACTTCTTCCTGGCAGCTGGTGGAGGCCATTGTCCTGCCAATGAACCACAAGGAGAAGTTTGAGAACTTGGGGATCCAACCTCCGAAGGGGGTGCTGATGTACGGGCCCCCAGGTACGGGGAAGACGCTGCTGGCCCGGGCCTGTGCCGCACAGACCAAGGTGAGTGCTTTGGGAGGATGGAGAGAGATGGGCAGGCTGAGCACTGGGGGACCTGTCATGGTGTTTTGGGCCTGATGGCGTCAACCCCATTCCCACCCCACCAAGGCCACCTTCCTGAAGCTGGCTGGCCCTCAGCTGGTGCAGATGTTCATCGGGGATGGTGCCAAGCTGGTCCGGGACGCCTTTGCCCTCGCCAAGGAGAAAGCGCCATCCATCATCTTTATTGATGAGCTGGATGCCATCGGCACCAAGCGGTAAGGGGGAGCTGGGTCCCACCAAGGAGATAGTTCTAAATTCCTACTATCCCACCATGCCCCCTTTCCCGGGGTGATGGCGGCTTTACTTGTGTGTTCTGCTTCCTAAATTCTTTTCTAACGAGCTTCCCTGCTTCTTCCCTGTTCCCCTGACCATCCATTTTCACAGCTGGCTGCGTGTTCCCTACAAAAACCTTGTCACTTCGCTCCTGCACCCACGGCCCCTCACACACACGGGTTCTACTTAAAACCCTTCCTGGGCCTCCCCCATTGCAGCTTGGGCCAAATGCCTGGGCTTTCCATGACCTGCAAGGCCCCCCTCAGTGGCTGCCCCTGCTCCCCTCCGGCCTCATGCTGGTTCTGCTCCTGCCTCCCCCTCTGAACTTCCCAGAGCCCCCCGGGCTTGCAGGCCCCCCTGGCTCTGCAGCGAGAGAGATTGTGCACCTGCTGTTTCCTCTCTGGAACGTGCTCTTCCTTCTCCCTCTTCTTAGTGATTGGTTGCCAGCTGATGTGTTTTCAGCCTTTAGATCTCAGCAGAGGGATACTTCCTCAGGGATCCTGCCTCGGTTCCCCTTACGCTCCAGTCTGGGCTGGGTCCCGTATTTCTAAGCTTAGCTCAGTCTGCAGTGGCACGTTCATCGGGCGCTGGCCCAGGCAGTGGGTGGTTTTGTCCTCAGCTCCCCACCTGGTCCCAGAGCGTCCCCAGTCTCTGAATGCTGTGGTCCACAGTTACACCTTTTCTGAGCTAGTCCCTGGCTGGGGGCCCCAAGTTGAGTGAGACATTTCCCGACCCTGGATGGTGGGTGGAGAGGAGGGAGGGGAGGGCTCTGCCCAAGCAGTGGCCTCACCAGTGTCTTGGGCCTCCTATGGGCCTCAGTTTTGACAGCGAGAAGGCCGGGGACCGGGAGGTGCAGAGGACGATGCTGGAGCTTCTCAACCAGCTGGACGGGTTTCAGCCCAACACCCAGGTCAAGGTGAGCTGTCGAAGGTGAAAAACATGGGGCTTAGAGGCCAGGGTACCTTCCCGGTTACCTCGCTATGGCAGCCACAGTAGGAATTGGGGTCTGTCTTGAACATCCCCTGCCCTTTCACCTGGACCCTGGGCTGTCTTTCTGCCTGTTGTGGCCATGACTGCTGCCAGTCTGAACCCCTTTCCCCTCAATTCAAGTTGCTGTTTCTTTCCTTCAGGTAATTGCAGCCACCAACAGGGTGGACATCCTGGACCCTGCCCTGCTCCGCTCCGGCCGCCTGGACCGAAAGATTGAGTTCCCGATGCCCAACGAGGAGGCCCGGGCCAGGATCATGCAGATCCACTCCCGGAAGATGAACGTCAGGTGAGCAGACACCAGGAGCAGGCGCTTCGTGCTGGCCTCCCAGGCCTCCGCCCACCCTTCCTTCCCCAGCCCGTTCGCACACAGCACCTTTCTGTCATCTTCTAACCTCACTTCCCCCCGCGTGCCTGAGGTAGTCCTGCAGGGGCCAAGACTCCCAACATGGCTGCTCTACTCCTTAGACTCCACCTGCCTCCCTCCCCCACGATAGGAAGGTCTGCAGGCCAGAGGGCCTCCGTTTCCTGGCCTCGCTGACCTCAGCACATGGGCACAGCCCAACATGGTCCAGGGGGACCCAGCCAGGGGCCAGGTGGACCTGGTTTGGATCTCTGTGACCTTCAGCAGGTGACATACCTCTTTAAGCCTCAGCTTTCGTACCTGGGACTTGGGGGTAATGGCACCAACCTTATGGGGTTGTGGCAACGTCAAGCACAGTGCTCGGCAAGTGAGATTTTTAAGTGGTAGCAGCATGCTGACACGGCCTGTGCTACTCAGGGGAGGGCAGATGGCCATCCTTATCTCCACGCCCTCCTGCTCCCCTGCCTCAGCCTGAGTAGGTTCCTGGGGTCTCCGGTACAGATTTCTAGAAGGCTGGAGCTCGAGACAGAGAAACCGCCTTGTCTAGCCTGCTTCCCCCAGCTTGTGCCTTGAAGAGAACGAGGCAGTGTGAGCTGACGGGGTGGGGTCGCGTGGGAGCACATCTGTCTCCAGAGGTGACTGAGCCCCGTGGCATCTGTCCCCCCACAGTCCTGACGTGAACTACGAGGAGCTGGCCCGCTGCACAGATGACTTCAACGGGGCCCAGTGCAAGGCTGTGTGTGTGGAGGCGGTGAGTGGTGGGTGAGGTGGGTGGGTGCTTCCTGCCCCCTTCCCTGGATAGGGCAGCGTGACTTGGCCAGCCGACTGCTGAGGGGAAGAGCCTGAGAAGGCTTTGGCCCCCGGGAGCCAGGCCTCGGGTGCGGGGAGGCACCCTGAAGCTTGTGTGTCCTGGGTGCAGGGCATGATCGCACTCCGCAGGGGTGCCACGGAGCTCACCCACGAGGACTACATGGAGGGCATCCTGGAGGTGCAGGCCAAGAAGAAAGCCAACTTGCAGTACTATGCCTAGGGTGCCGCCCACCACACCATCCCCTGCTCTCTTGCTGGTTAACATTCATAATAAAAGATGGTTTCAGGCCTCTGACACCTGTCTGTCTCGCTTCTTAGTGGAAGGGTGGGGGTGCTCGCACGAAACCCCTTCCCCACACTCCTGCCTGGAACTCAAGACAGCTGTGGCCTCAATCCGGTTGTCACGGCGAGGCCCTCAGAGGCCTTCCCCTGGGTCCCTCCAGCTTCTCCCTCCCCGCTCCCTGCCCCTCTGAGCTTCCAGGGTGTGGTGCTGAGCCCTGGGATGAAGCCCTCCATGGAGCCAGCCTTTCCTTTTTCCACATTTTGGTGCTCTGGCCCTTGGCCTCGCTTTCTCGTAGAGCCAGACTCTGGCCTTTTCCCCTTGGAACACCTGTTTCCTAGCCTCCAGGCCTCTTGTTTTCCCACATGTCTTCATTAGCTGTTGTTTTTTAAAAATATATATTTTTAATTGATTTCAGAGAGGAAGAGAGAGGGAAGATAGAAACATCAGTGATTAGAGAGAATCATGATTGGCCCCTCTGCACGCCCCGCCCCTGGGGATCGAACCCACAACCGGGCAGGTGCTTTGACTGGGAATCGAACCGTGATCTGCTTCATTGGTCAACACTCGACCACTGAGCCACTCCTGGTCGGGCCCCATTAGCTCTTTTGGTCCATTTCCTCAGCTGAAAGTGAACCTTGAGCAGGATCTTGGTTCCATATGCTTTGAAAGCGCCCTGAATGGCCTTTCAAAGCAGCAGCTCTTCAGAACTCGGCAGTTCTCACTTGCCCTGTGACGAAAGCCTACACCCTCCTGGTCCCTGGTCCCTTCCCCTGAGGAACATGCCTAATTGGGCTACAGACTGGGCCTGGGCCTTCTGGAGGTCAGGCTCCTAACCAGCTCCGATCCCTCCCCTCTGATCCCACCACCTCCAGGGCCGCCTCTCTCCCACAGTGCCGAGATGCACCTAACCATTGACTCCCCACGCCTGCCTGAGGAGCCCCGCACAGCCTCTGATGGACTGGGGCTGTCCCCTGCCCGGCTCAGCTGTTCCCATTCCTGCATTCCCTGTTCCCTCTCCTGACCAGTTGGGGCATCACCCGGTCAGACACCCGAGTAAACCTGCACGCACCACCTGAGTGAGGCTCCACATGGGGGTCCCAGCGCTGCCGAGGGGAGGGGTGCTGGCTGGAGCCCGGTTCCTTCCTTGACAGATCAGGTGCATGTCCACCAGGTCCCGGTGTGTCGGGAGCAGCGGGTCCCTTTTTTGCTGAAAAGAATGATTCAGAGCCAGGCTGAGGGCACAGCAGTTCGGGCTTCACAGCCCTGAGCAGACTTGGCGGTGCTGTGCGGACATGCTGCTCTCTGCCAACGGGCTAGTGGAGGCTGTCCTGCTTGGCTTGGATAGACAGCACTGTGGGGAAGCAGCGCCCCCCGGTGCCTCGTCCTGTCCTTACACAGCACATTCAGACGTTTTTCTTTTTAATGAAAAATAACCATTTCATTGAGGCAAAACCTGGAGATGCCCTTATGGATGGAGCTCCCTTCCTGGATCAAATGACTCTGGGGCAGGCTGGGAAAAAGCCGCCAGTTGGTAGGTCTATACGAGGCCACCACCCTTGGGGGTGCGTGGGCTACAACACAGTGCCAGGCTTGTTTTATTGGGACAAAAAGCTAACAAGACAAGCCAGGAAACTGAAATGCAATCCCATTCTGAGAAGCACTGCAAGGGTAACAGTTCAGAGACGGCACAGAGGAGAAGGGTGGGAGGTGGGGACGAGACCGGCAGGCGCCAGCCGGCACGGGCCTTGGAACGCCAGCCCAGGAAAGCCCTGCTCGACCGTGGCTGGTGCACAGGACAGAGGCAGCCAGTTTGTGTATAATATTTATTTGCATCTTATATATAGAACAGGTATTTACAGATACAAATGGAATCAGCAAAACGGCTGTGAAACCATTCAGACCCTTTGGCCACTTCTGAGAATGTCCGAGGTCGAGCAGCAGGGCTGGGCCTGGCTGTGGAGTGGGCCAGCTGAGTACCTGGGCGTCAGCCAAGGGAAATAGCTGGGGATTATGGCTTCAGCATTCTCCCAGAGCACATTCCTGAGTGCTGACCACATGGAGCCCTCACCACCACCCCCCTAAAAGGGGCCGAGCAGGAGGGGCAGCCACGAACCACTCACTCTCTTCCTGCCTCTAGGATATCTGCCTGGCCCCTGTGCTGGCACAAGCAGCCCTGAGCGGACCGGGAGGTCTCCCTGGCCCCGGGCTGCTGGCTGCCCTGCAGGCTGCTGTTTGGCAGCTGGAGGTGGCAAGAGCTGCTGGTGCTGCCACGGAGCATTCACTGGGGGACGGGAGCTGGCCCAGGTCTGAGAAAGCATCTCTCGGCTTCATGCTGGGAGGGTAGGACTGTCAGTGCTGAGTGGGGCTGGGGGCTGCGAGAGCACCTGCCTCTCCTTTCTTTGGCTTTATAGATGGCGAAGGAAGGGCCACGGCCGTGGATGCAGCAGAGTTCACCCCAGCCTCGGCCCCTGGGCTGCCCAGGGCTGGGTGCATGAGCAGAGGGGCTTACTCCCTCAGCCAGGGACCTATGAGGCCCTAGTGGGAGACGGCTTTGGGATTCCTTGCAGCCAGGGGCTGCTGGGGCTGCCCTTCACTCCCCTGGGGGTCGTGGTGGGGAGAGGCCTCTGCTTGGGACCAATGCTGGCTTCCTCGCTGCTCTCTCTGGGAGGTGCAAGATGACAGGGTGGCAAGGAGAGAGGACCACAGTGTGGCTGGGGCAGGCGCGGGCATTGGGCCCGGGCATGAGGGATCACAGTGTCGGTCTCACACGCCTCTGTCCACACGTGCACACCACACACACACACACACACACACACGCGCGCGCGCGCGCGCGTGCCATCCTCTTGTCTGGTAGGAGGCTCGTTGGCTCTCAGACACTCGCCCTCTCTGCCTTCACACACGATCACAGAGTAAATCCGAATCTCTTATTGCTGTGGGGGGAGCGGGCGTCAAGGATGGTTACTCCACCAAGAGCGAGAACAGCACCATCACCACGATCCCCATGCAGAGCAGAAGCACTTGCTGCAGGGAGTGCCTGTGGGGAGAGAGGCTGGGGCTCAGGGGTTGGCACGGGGTGAGGGGCAGGGAAGGGGCCAGAAAAGCCCCTCCTCCGCCAGCCTCGAAGGGCCCGTGAGTGCAGTCCCCGTGAGTCACTCACCACGGGTCATCTTCCTCCAAGATGTCGGGCAGCACGTTCACCAGGGCGATGTAGAGAAAGCCGCCAGAGGTGAAAGGCAGGATCCAGGCCACAGTCTCCTCTGCAGTGGGAGAAGGCCCGACTGGCTGGGAGCCCACGGGTCCCTCACCCCTCCCGCAGTGGGGACCGAGGGCAGGACCCGGGCTCGATATCGGGGTGGGGCTGGTGTACCCTTGGCTGGGACCCCTCTGCTGATGGCCACCTGCCACCATCACACACCCCGCCCATACCTACTCCCTTGGGGGACTGTGTACAGATGGCGAAGCAGGCGCCCAGCAGGCCCCCCAGTGCCGTGGAGAGCTGTAGCTTGGCTGCGCTCCATCGGTCAAAGCCAGCCCGGAGCAGGATGGCAAAGTCGCCCACCTGAGGAAGGTCCAGTGGATCACTCTGGGCCCCAGTTAGGACCAGACCCCGAGCACCTCAGGGATGGACACGCACACGAGCCCCTGCACCCACCCTGCTGCTGGGCCCCAGCCCGCACCCCCACCTCTGGAACTCACCTCATGGGGGATCTCATGCAGGAGGATGGCCATGGTGGTCAGGAGCCCGATCTGCAGGAAGGGGAGTCTGTGGGGTCTGTGCCGAGGGCCAGGGCACCCCCTGTCCACTCAGTCACCAGTGTCTACTCCGCTCTGAGCACTCTGGCTGGCCACCCTTCGGTGACCAGAAACACAGCAGCCAATCAAACACACAAGGAAGCTGCCCTCATGGAGCTCACAGTCTGGAGGAGGGAGGCCAGGACTGCGTAAACACATGAGCCGTGTCACTCACTGACACTGCTGGGGGAGGAGGACTGGGTGCCCTGGGGCAGGAGTAATGGGGCCTCATCAGACGAGGGGTCAGCAAAGGCTTGTTTGAGGAAGTACATTTAGCCAAGGCCTAA